TATGTGCTGCAATCATTCACCTACACAGGCAGAACGTGTCATGAAATGGATTCTTCCATAGTTCTTATTGACAAAATGCGGACGGGACAGAAAGTTTTTGACGTCATACTTTGGTTCATCACGAAGGAGCGTTTCCGTTTTCGGTACTCCCACGGAGATAAAGAGACGTTCTGGTTCTCGTTTGAGCTGGCGCATGCGCCGTACTCCTTCTCCCCGTGGGGTGTTAGCGTTGTTTCGTCAACTCCCAATAAGGACATGACCAAGCACCCAAACTCGCTCTGCGGTAGTATTCTGCAGTACATGCCTAACGCATCTGATAACGCCGAGATACTGTACGTTAACGGCAAGGCATTGCTGGACCCGTACCCACAGGGTATCGACTACGTGCCTAAGGCGCAGTGGAACAACATGCTTAACACATTCCCGACGCATATGACGCCACGACAGCCACGAACGGAACTAAACAGGACCGGTGATGAGAAAGTGTATTTAGAGTGCCTCGTCGGTCTAGGAGCAACACCGTTGCCGGATATGTTTGCCGGAATGCTGTTGCGCCGTCGTCTCCACTATTTTGGGATCGTCATCGGCGTACTTGGCTCGCTTGAACACTGTGAGACGTTCCAGTTGCGTCGATTGCTAGAGCAATCTAATGTTGAGCCCCATGTGAGAAGTAGCCCAGGCACAACTAGTAGTTTTACTCAGCGAATCCCACTGTTGTACAGACAACGACGGTGAATCCCGCCATACCATACAAATCTGTCAGGAGCACTTGAAGTTCAGAACTCAAGATTTGAAAAACCTTGTGCTCTTACACATATTGAATGGTGCTATAATACACAGCGTGCACCACATCTGTTACTCAGTCAGTTTTATGAGTTAGCTGATGCTGTTTAGATATGATGTTTCTATCGCCAAACGCAGTTTGGGACTTATTTAAACGCGTGGGATATCGCAGTTTAGAGATGGGCTAGTAAACAATGTCGTTGCGACCATTATTTTTACCACCCATTCCCATATAAAAACAAGTAAGAAATAATGACGGTCAATGTGGCCCAGCCACTCATTAAATGCAGTTTTTTCTGATGCCAGTTCGGTTTGATCGCTGCTATTCCTAGCGTTATGGGGAGAGGGCCGCCACTATCAGACGAGGAAAAGGGGCGAGCCCAAGGGCTTTTTGAAGGAAGGTGCAGCCTACGAGAGATCGAGCGGCGAATTACACGCTCGCGAGGTGCCATACATCGCGTCCTGTTCGAAGAGAAGCCAGAGCGCAAGAAACCCGTTCCCGCAGCTGCATTGTCGGACCGGGAGGCCCGGGTCCTGCTACTTACCGCTGCTAAGGGGGATTTCTCAGCTCGACAGCTCAAGAGCGAGCTGAATTTAGCGGTGTCAGTCCGCACAATTCAGCGTGTACTCTCCAATGTAGACTAGCTAAACTACACTAAAATGGACAACGCATTGCTGCTCTTCGCCGAGGACGAGCAGGCAAGGGAAGATTGGGCGTAGGCAAGGGTCCTTAACACGGATGCCACTGAGTCGTGGGAGTTCATCATCTTCTCAAACGAGAAGAAGTGGAACCTCGACGGACCCGCCGGCTTCCAGACCTACTGGAGGGACATCCGCCGCCCTCCTAGGCAGACAGTTAGACGCGAAGGAAGAGGAAACTTGAGTCAGGCAAAGTAAATTGTAGAAATAATTACGAGTGCTGGGTCGAATCGGTCCTAGCTGCAATCTTGTCGTGTAGGCGTCCTGTGGGCAATCTAGGGACATCCTGAGCGTCTTCTTTGAGGATTCTCTGCCCTAGCGTCATCAATAATTCATAGGATGCACCACTGTCATCACCAGGTCCGGTACGCCTTCATGTGCCAGTTGTTCATCCGGTATCAGGCAACCGCCAATACCAACTTCGACGACCCCAGCCCCAAATAGACACTTAGCCTCTGCTCCAACCGACGTTGTTGGTGCCACACTCGGGATGGATCTCAAGACAAATCTCGCAATGGACATGAGCACGTACTTACGATTGTCGACTATGGCTCCAGCTACAACCACGTATACCTGTTGAGACGCTAGATCGAGGCTGCTGACAATATCAGAACGTTCATTAGCGAATTCGAGACTCAGTTTGACTTATTAATCAAGTGTGTCCGCACGGACGGTGGTGGCGAGTTCATCAACTGAAAACAGCGTGAATTGTTCTAATCTCGCGGAATTATCCACCAGCATCAAAATTGGCTCTGCCTCTAAAGCAGTCCCCAAAACTGAATCTACACCCACGTCTAAGCTCTCGGTGTCGTCTTCGAAGTCCGGTACCGGATCCAAGGCGGGATCCGCTGCTACATCCAAGTCGGGATCGGCGTCCAAGACTGGATCCACGGCTGCTGTGTGTGGTGTAGTAGAACACACAAATATCGTCAGATGTGGATTCCTTACACAAACCACAACGAATCGCCGAGTTAGGTCGGCGGTTTGTATGGCCTGCGCAGAGGGTGGTCCCCTCGCGGTCCGGGCCTTCCGGGACAGACGAGTGGCTCGTTTCCACTCGGTTCCGACTAACCAAGTCAGATCACTTCCGAGACTCCGCCGAGTTTGGTTCGGCTGAGCTCGTTCACAACCCTGTGCCCTCCACCAAAGGATGGACGACGGCGCGTGAGCGCTTTTACAGGTCACCGAGCGCAGAGGCTGCTCAGCTAGAAGTGTTACGGCACCCGGGCTATCCGACGTACCGGCCCGCTGAGTATGCGGGACTTTCTGTCGCGCGTAGCGAGACTTTGTCCTACCCGGACCGACCTAATCTCTTGGCGCTACCAGTCAATACTCTACA